TTACTGACAATAATAATAATAAAAAAAAAGTTACCCTGGACTGGTGACAGTTGCCTGTATTCTCAGCTACATTGGAGGTAAATGCAAGAGGCTCACATGTTCAAAGTCCACTGAGGCTACAGAGTGAGTTCAATGCCAATGCAGGAAACTCAGTAAGATCCTATTTCAAAAACCAAAGGGAGTGGGTGTGCTCGGAGAGCAGATATGAATGTGGTCCTGGGTCCAATTCACAGTATCACAATAAGATAGATGATAGATAGATAGATGATGGATAGATAGATAGATAGATAGATAGATAGATGGATGAGAGGGAGAGAGAGAGAGAGAAACATTCATGAAATGAACAAAACTATCACCCTAAAGTTGGAGTGCTTCCTGGGCAGTTGGGCTGGTTCTTAGCTGTGAATCACACACAGATGAGGGGAAAGTGACCAAAAAGCATGGCCAGTGGCCTTTGTAAGTGTTCCGCTGTCCAGGAGCAGGAGAAAGTTAGGGGGGCGGTCACTGTGTTAGGGATAGAAAAGCTTTCTCTGAAGGCAGTTCTGGTAGATTTGAGCTTAAAGTAAAAGGCAATTATATGGCCCTTTAACGCCTCTAAATAGTAGCCACCAATAGTACAGAAACCATTGCCAAAATCGTTCTTACAAGAGGTGTTCTCCCTCTGTTAGGCTGAAGTAGTTCTACGCGCCTGGGTATTTAGGAGAACACTTACTGCCTGTGTCTGAGGCAATCCACACTAAAGAGCAAAGATGAACGTAGGAGTTATTTGGAAACAGGAGGGGATGGGTAGTCGGGGAGGCAAGAGTATGAGCATAGCGTGTGCATGGATGAAAACGTCAAACTCGGGGCTGGAGAGATGGCTCAGAAGTTAAGAGCGCTAACTGCTCTGGCAAAGGACCCAAGGGCAGTTCCCAGTATTCTCATGGAGGCTTATGTTAAAAAAGAAAACGTCGTAACAAACTCCACTATGTGTGTAAAGCATTCAAATAAACTACAGAAAGTGAAGAGACAAAACGTAAACGGAGTACCAGCCTGCTGGCAAGAGTGGTACTACCGACCTCTGGAGGAACCGACGACCTGTTTCCCGTCTCTTGGAGTTCTGATGGTTGTCACGGCACTTGCCTAAACAATGGACTTTCAGGCGACATGACACATGGCAGCTGTGTGGGTTGACGGGAGAGATAAGCACACAGTGCTAGGCGGTATTAAGGAGCCCCTCATCATGACCTACAGAGATCTTCGTATCAAAAACTCGACTTCTGTGAGCACTCAGCACGAGGAGGGCACTGCGCTGGTGCAGAGTGTGCTGGAACTAACTTCCTAAGCAAGTTTTGAACCAGGGAAGTTTCTGCCTGGTCTCCATCTACACCCCCACTCTGTCAAGCAAAGTTCACTTTTGTTTTCTCTCTGCTGAGCGCTTCCTCAGAGGCTGCCTCTCTGCCTGGAACCTCTTCCCAACCCTGTGCCTTCCACCAGTCCACATCTCCCTCATCTTCCTCCGTGCAGGGCTCTGGCTCCCCCTCTGGCACCTGGCTGGTGGCTCCACATTGCCTCTCTGTCTCTACTCCTTGAGGGCAGAAACTGGACTGGTTTCTGGGTTCTTGTCTTCAGTCCTAGCTTGCAGAGCAGAGACACCTCACAAGTAGTGAGTGACTATGTGGACGAACAGCCAGGAACGTTTTCAAGGAAAAACTAAAAGGGAAAAGAGCAACAGTTTGAAAGAGAAAACTCAGTTTTCCCTTAACAAGGAACTGCATTATCATGAGACGTTACATGTTTTAGTGAATCAGCCCCTCAAGAACAACAAAAAATTTTCAACAGGCAGAGATTTTTTTTTTAAACAAAGCACACTAATCTTAAAAGGGCTTTGTACTGTATTATACTACATTGTTTCTAATTATATTGATCAATTAGACCAAGTGAAAATTCTAAAATATAAAATATTGACACTTAGAATACATGTCCAATGGGATGTTTTGTTCTTTTCTTGACATAAGAAAAAGTTAAATTATCTATTATATGTTAGTTAAAGTTATTTCAAAATGATCCTTTGAATTCCAAGTCTATAATTTTGAGAATATCTGTGCAATGATTTCATGATCATGTATCGTGTATGTCATATTCTACACGCATAGAGGGCCTCTCCAGATCTGTGTTCAAAATGCTGTCTTATTACAGAAGCCTTTGAAATAAGTGTTGCCCTCCCCAAATCTTCATGCTCCCACCTTGTCCAATCTTCTCTGTAGACACTCTGTTAAGATGTTCTGTGTTTATGTGTTTCTGTTGTTCTCCATGAAAAAAGACTTGGTTGTTTTGTTCACTGCTCTAATCCAAGTACTTCAACTGAAGTCTAACACATGCTGTGTATTCAGTAAATTTCAAGACAAAAGTGAATTAAATATATCAAAAACTTACAAAGAAAAGATTCAAACACAGTTCTCCTAATTTTACATAATTATTTGTTCTCAAATATTTGCACTGACCAATGCTAGAATTCATAAAATTTTCTCCTTTTTAAAGCAGTTTTTGCATACTTTTGACTATTTTTATGTAAAATATCATTGTTAAGATGAATAATTCATTTCATTCACCAGATTTATATATCTGTCATATCTACATCATATTTTGGCACTACCCAAACTCAAATCTATTTCTTAATTACAAAAAAAAGCACCACATTTTCCACAAAAGTGTATGCTACTGGCTTAAGATCAAAACCAAAACCCAATGATGTTAATCACCTTGACTTAATGATCACTCAACCACATTGAACTTCAGAAATATAAACAAATATTCTCTGTCCTCAAGATATAAAAGTAATTTTTAAATATTGGTTAATAATTCACAGTTTCATTATTCTCTATTTGAATGTCATTTCTGCAAAGTGTCTGATTCCGAAGTCAGAATACTATGAGTTAATATGAAACATATTTAGCTAAACCATTCATGCAAAAGAATTAAGTGCAAGAACTCACACTCTCTGAGTTCAACTGCACTACAAAGCTACAGAAAGTGAGATTATAGAGCGCTGGCAGAGAGATAGATAGACACATGTCAACAGACAAGAACTGCCCAGAAGTTGATTCTTACATCAATGGTCAGTTACGTTTCCACAAAGGTGCCAAACCACTTGCCAGAGAAGAGAATCCTCTTGACAAATAGTATTGAGAAGAATAGATATCTGTATAAAAAAAAAATGCAAACCTTATTTTCTATGTAAACAAACATTTAGTCAAAATGGGCCAGAAGCCTAAACCTAAAAAGCAAAATCTGAAAAACTTTTGAGCAAAACACAGGAGTAAATCTCTGTAGCCTGGGATTAGGAAAATGCTTTTTAACAATAAACACCAAGAAACAACCAATGGAATAACAAATGATCTGATGAACCTCATCAAAATTTTAAAGAAAAATCACCCTTCTAAAAATACTAAAAGACAAAGCAATGAATTTGAGGAAATATATACAAATCATTAATGTCATTGAAGTATTTGTTTCTCATATATATATTTGTTTCCCACAACTCAGTTAATAAAAAAAAAAAAAAAAAAAAAAAAAAACAGCTCAATTTAGAAATGAGCACAAACATTTTACCAAGGGCCACTCAACATCATTAGTGAACAGGAAACTGAGAACCACCATTTTGTTCTCACTAAAATGACTGTGACCAGGAAAAGGAATAGTAGCAGGGGGTGTAAGGAAACTGGACACTCTCCACTCCTGGGAATGTGCGAGGTGAGCCACTTTAGAAAATGGTGCTGCAACTTCATTAAACGTGAGTGTAGCTTATAGCCCAATGCTTCTACTGCAGAGCAGCAAAAGCCACGAGAACTCAAAGACTCTCAGGTAAGCACATGAAGCAGCCTCATCCAAAGCCCAAACCTAGAGATAACCCAGATAGTCACCAGCAGCTGGTTGCATAGATGTGCACGTGTGTCTGTATCTTTCTACACTCATGTATCACTACAGCGTTAGACATCTGCATTCTAAAATTAGTGTGAAATCCTACAAACCGTAAATATTATAACACCTTCACAAGAATGAATGCATATGTGTAATTAAAAATTAGTGTCTTTCTGATTTTCAGCCCCAATACTACCTGGGTTAAAATTAGAGGCCTTCTACTTCTTGGCTTCTTTTTTCCAGGCTAGTTACACAACCTTTCAGGGGTCTGTGCTTGTCAGAGATGGGCAATGATAATACTCCTCATAAGATGATGGGATTAAATGATACGAAATATGCGGAGTGCTTGGCATTGGACTGTCACAGTGACGGTCTTTAATAAATTGGAATAATGAAGTTTGTACTCACTCATAGGAAGGAGGCAGCCATTTGGTGACATGGCAATCTCCATTGCCCAAATCTGTAAACCAGGGTCAAACTGTTAGTCTGAAGTACATACAGCGAGGGCCTCGTATGACATATACGGCAAAGCATAATAAATTGTAGAATCCTGTATTGTAGTTCCTGTCCCCATCCCACCATCCAGGATATGTTTACAGAAGAACCACACTAACTGCCCATAGGACATGGTGATGCTGTTTCTCAACCCCTAAATTCACAATGAAAGAGGCCGCTCGTTAATCTCAGTGTCTGTGTGGCAAGACATTTTCAAAACAAAGTTTATCCTCCGTTGTTTGAACACAAAGTAAGGAGAACCATGTCGCCTCCTATCTGAAACACTCAGCAGCTATCAGGCTCGGCTAAATATGGCTCTGGCCGCTGAGAGAATAATCCCTGCCGGTTCTGAGACCTCCATCCACCACCGATGGGACATTCTTTGTGTTCAAATGTCTAGCTGACGTCTGATGCCTAAAACAGCCCATGCTTTCACCCTCTCCACATTGTCACAGCCCTGAATCACCGCTCTTAAAAGGCTCCCGAGGCCACTCCTCACAGCAGCTGCCGACCAGCCTGACGCTTGCCTTGCCTCCCTGTCAGCCTCTGCTTGCCTTGAATGCCTGGTTCTCCAAGCTCTTGGGGTGTCTGACGCGGCCGGGACTATGTCTACGTTTGGCTACCGAAGGGGACTTAGTAAATATGAATCTATCGATGAGGATGAACTCCTGGCCTCCCTCTCGGCTGAGGAGCTGAAGGAGCTTGAGAGGGAGCTGGAAGACATTGAACCCGACCGAACCCTTCCAGTGGGGCTAAGGCAAAAGAGTCTGACAGAGAAAACCCCCACAGGGAACTTCAGCAGGGAGGCGCTGATGGCATACTGGGAAAAGGAGTCCCAAAAACTTTTGGAGAAGGAACGGCTGGGGGAATATGGAAAGGTAGGCTTCAAGCACTGTGCCCGTCTGCACCTATCATTCTTACCCCCAACCCCACTCCAATGCCCGACACCTCTCTTTTCTGTAGCTTTCAATCTTCATCTCATAACTCAGTTGTATTCATTACTGAAATATTTTCCAGGCCAAAAATGGTCTCACCAATTTTGTAAGTAAAACAAATCTTGGTGAGGTTTTTTTTTTCTTCTTCTTCTTTTCTTTCCTTTCTTTCTTTCTTTCTTTTTCTTTCTTTCTTTCTTTCTTTCTTCCTTCCTTCCTTCCTTCCTTCCTTCCTTTCTTCCTTTCTCTCTCTCTCTCTCTCTCTCTCTCTCTCTCTCTCTTTTATTAAGATGGGAACCTGGAGCAGAAAATGTTTCACAACCAGAGTATGGGTTTGGATGAGTCACCAAATACTCAAATTGATATTGCATTGTATGTTTCTGATACATTTTTTTTTCAGCTAAATACATTTAGTTCCTGTTTCTTTGGCAGCAATAATGGCAGCAGTAAAATTATTTTTATGTTTTCAAGGCTTCAGTAAGGGTGTGGGAGTCAAGAGCCCTTGTTCTTCGTGCTCTTCTGTCCTTAAGTTGTTAGAGTTTGTACACACAAAGATTTCTTCAGGGTTCTCTTTCCATCTATGGATTGAGTGGGTTCAATTTCTTGTTTCCTTTGTGAATCAAGATTCCCCACTTCTTTGAGATTTTAACAAGTTCTAGAGGTTCACCAAAGAAAATGCACATGTCCACACAGGATTCTACATGATGAAACCCACCAAAGATGCAGATTAAGCCCACAGGTGCAGATCCATCCCTGAGAATCTTCCTACTTCTCCTTGAGATTCTGAGACAAGGAACCACACTTGTATTGGACAACTCAGGGCTAGGAAGCCCTGAGTGCTGCCCAGGGAAGAGCCATTTTGAATTCGCCAATGAATTATTACTGAAAGGAAATTCAGAAGACTTTTCTTGAGGAAAGTCATTACAGTATAATGTTAGTAGAGGAAAGAAACCCTGAGTTCATGCGAGGAAACAGGCCAGGAACAGCCATTTATTTAAAAGCCTATGTGCTCCACTGAAATCACTTATGATTGAAAAGGCTCATGGTGGCCAGCTTTCTACCATACTGATGTGGGAGCTGTGGAGAACTTGGTGATAGCTGCTCTGTTCACATTTGCAGCAAATGTGTGTGAGCTATGCCCTTGTTAGTCATCTTGGAAAGGGCCACTGGGACCAAGCCAGGATCTTTCAAGGCCACTATGGCTACAGTAGCGAGGAACAGGGGGAGATGGCAGAGGGGGCACCAGTCAAGATTTGAACTAGCCACTTCTTCCCCAACCATGACTTAAGAGTTGGTTTGCTTGGTTTCCTTATTTGTTTCTGATTTTTGGTTTGGAACGGAAATGAGAGTCAACAGTCTGATGAAATAGGATGACATCTTATCATACTCACTAAAGAATTTTCTTCAAAATAAGAACACAACTATCTGTAAGAAGCCAGGACATAGAGGCACCTACGACAATAACAGGACAAAGGCATTTTAATGTCATGATGTTATGACAGAGAGGGAACTAAAGGGCAAAGCCTGTTGTCAGCTGTCGCTGACCCCCACCTCCCGCTGCCAAAGGTTTTGCTGATCCTGCCAATGGCTTATCGGTCCTTAGAGCGGCTGCCTTCTTTACTGACTTTGATTCCTTTCTCATCTGGTTCACTTTTCTCCCACTTCACTGTCCCAGCCAGCTGTCTCTGGGGTCACAAGGGTACTGAGCAGAAGCGGTTGACCGAGGGAGTAGATCCAGGCCCACCAGCAGGGAAAACTTCCAAGCAGCTGAGGGGAGAGGGGACAGGTCTCAGTGACAATGGCTCAAAGAGGGTCCGTGAGGAGGAGTTGGGGTCTGGGCGGCCGGAGGGACCAGGCCTTGTGAAGGTTTTGGAATATTCTGTGTAGCACCTTGTGACAGCCTTTTTTTTCCAGTCCATCTAGGGCGACACAAATGTGTACCACACCAGCTCTAGGCACCCTGGACACGCAACAGTCCAGTTCTCCTCGCTAGAGTAGCTGCTGGGTTTAAGGCACAGGTGCCAATGACTTTCCTCACATTGTCTCATCTCATCTTACTCTTCTTCACTTGAGAGCTGAGACAAGGAGAAATTAAGCAACTTATGTGAGGGTAGCAGCTTGTCAGTCAAATTGCAATTGAAATTAGAGACTCGGCGCGAAGGCTGTCTTCCAGACTTGTAGACTAGCCTGGCCAGCCCGATGAACTTCACCTGGTACTTCAGAAAGCACACATGCTGAGCCTCTTCAACACCTGCAGAGGAGAACTTGGGGTAGGGCCCAACCAGCTGTGGTCTCTCAACTCCCCCCAGCGATTAGGGCATATGTTAACACTAGGACTGCAAGAATCACTCACTTTCTGGAGACCCAGAAAAGTTTAGTGATTTATCTGAAGTGAACCAGCCTATTATAGGGAGAACCAGGACAAGGGCTGACAGCCAAGCCTCTTGCTTCCTTGTGGATGTGATGATGTCATGGAGGTGATGGAAGAGGCTGTCAATGGCTATCTCCTCATTGTGGCTCTATTTACTCCCCACTCAGCAGCATTTGCATTCTCTCTGCTCAGTCCCTCCCACCTCATCCTCTGTGCATATCTTTCCAACCCTATTCCCCAAAGGATCGGATCGAACTCCAGCACAGCAGATGTAGGAAGCACTGCCCACCCCCTCCAGTATAGGATGGATTCATAAAGGAGCAGGGATTGCTCTATGAATCACGCTACCTTCCCCTTTGTCCTGCTATTTTTCTCTCACATGCTCTCCTCCTGGGGTGGTCAATGATTCTCAGAGTGCCCTGGACTGCTTTAGAAAATTCCTGTATCCTGGTAAACCGCTTGGGCTCAGGCAAACATCCAGGATAACTGGTTACCTTGCCCTCGCTGACCTTATCAGTATTTTCTTCTAGATAGAGTCCTGACTATGAGATGGAGTTAACTAATGTCAACTTAGATCATCTACCCAATAAACAATGTTTACTGAGCCTCTATAGCACGCTAAGAACTGTGCTAGGTGAAAAAAAACACTTTAACAGTCTATTGAGGAAATGGGAAACAAGCAGTTAAGGTGAGACATAGCTTCCATCCGAGAAGCCCCGACATCATTCCAGGGACAACTCAGGAAGTGTTGAAGTAAGACCCCAGGAAGAGGCATTTTTAGATATTAGCAACAGCTCACGTTGCTAGAGGTGACATGATTTTTAGATGTATTTTGAAGGGGAACAACTTTTGCAAATAGAGCCTAAAGACCTTTAAACATAAAGGAGACGAGATTTCGTGGTTGTCTGAAAGGCAGCATACTCTCGATTTGGAGACAGGACAGTGCACAACTGTAGGAAGCTGATGGGGTTCCTCTTGCAAGAATGTACATAAAACAAAGGGACTTGGGGTGGGGTTGTCAGAACTCTGTCCCACTGATGCAAGCATTTATTCATTTATTTATTTGCAGGGTGTTTTGTATTACTGACTTATAACTTTGTCCCTCTACCGATCTTTTGGCAGACAAACAGGCATACAGACACAGAGACACAGACACGCACAGTCTCTCTCTCTCCTAATACATCAAGTAAATTGAGACTGGCTAGGTCACCCCAGGAGAGGCTGACCCTTTCCCAGGCCATCACTTGGTGCCTGCCACTCCAAACAAGTGTGGCTAACTGGAGGCTAATTGTGACAGCAGCTGGGCAGAGAAACCTGGAGCCCAACACAGTGTTTTCCAAAGCTCCATCCATCCACATGCCACGGACAACAACGCCCCTTGAAGTTGAGAAAAAAAAAAAAAAAAAAAAAAGTACTTCAATGTAGAGGAAAGAATTCAGGCTGTGGGGGCAGTAGGGGCCCTGGGGCTTCTCAAAAAGATAAGAAGGACTCACAAGAGAGTAAAGAAAAATCAGACACATTCAGCGCTTCTAACACCTTTTGTATTAAAAGATAAGAAAGAGAAGAGAAAACAGTCTTTTGGGAGAGTGTACAGAGGTCCTAGTTGAACAGAAGTAGCAAAGCTAAATCAAATCCCATTTTTATTTGTCTGTTTTGTTTTCGGATTTTTTCTGTAGCCTTGGCTGTCCTGGATTTGCAGACCAGGCTGGCCTTGAACTCTCAGAGATCCACCTTCCTCTGCCTCTCTAGAGTGCTGGGATTAAAGGAGTGTGTCACTGCCACCCAGCTTCAAATCCCATTTACCCGAAAGCCTTTTACAATGGGTGCTAAGTAAGTTTAAAGCTTTGGGCTTGGCCAGCCCTTGTTTCAAGCTTTTCTGCTGCTGTCTGCTAATGCACACTGCTGGGGGACTTGGGGAAGCTACTGCTCTTCAGGCTCTCAGGTTTTACCCTTGTGATAATGGCCTCTGCTAACGGTTCTGATTGTTGTTTTTCCAGAGAGCAGGTTTTGCTCTGCCCCTGATCAGCAGTAATATGGGAGTGTGGAGATGCCAGCACACAACAGACAAAGGCCAGAGCAGCAAACTGCATCTGCTTCTGTACTCGGAAAGAAAACAGGACAGAGGGCACTTGGCATGGCCATATCTGCAATTGACTAAAAAGTCTTTTGCTCAGCCATGTACCAGCCCTGGCTCCTCTGAGACAGTCTAAATTGCTTAGGCTGACCTCTGACTCACTCTCTATCCTAGACAAGCCTTGAACTCACTACCCTCTTCCTTCAACTCCCAATTAGCCAGGATAGTGTGTCCCAACAGACCTGGTAAAATTTTGAGCATTAAGAAAAAGGAATTCAGCTGGGCACAGTGGTGCATGCCTATAATCCCAGCACTCGGAGAGGCAGAGAGGTGGATCTCTGTGAGTCTGAGGCAGTCTGGTCTACAAAGTGAGTCCAGGATGGCCGAGGCTTCACAGAGAGAAACTCGTGTCTTGAAAAATCAAAAAATGAAAAGAAAAAAAAATAAACAAAGGAATTCCCTACCATATTGTTGACTTTTGCTGTACTTGCTTGGCATGAAGAAATAGAAAGGTTGGTGCACTGATTCCGGAGAGAGGCGTGGCCTGGCAAAACTGGAAAAAAATGAGTCAGTTTAAACTTTCTTGTTTTATTTTGTTATTCATGACGGCACATGCAGCAAATGATAACTTTGTGCACTCAGTTCTCTCCTTTCTCCTTTACGTGGGACCCAGAGATCGGATTCTATTGCGCTCAGGCCTTGACTACCTTTATCTGTTGATGTATCTTGCTAGGCCTAAAATGTTGAAGAATTTATCTGGCATTTTCTGAAGTTGAAGCTCGGACTTATGTGTTCAAACTAGAAAAATAATCCCATATTTTTTATTCAATAGATGCTGGCTATTTGGTAGAAGACAAATGTTTACAGAAAAGCTGTTACTGGTTATGCAACAAAATGGTGACCTTGGTCACTTAAACTAGAGTCAGAAACAAGGACTTGCTAATTCTGCTCACTACAGACCTCTGTGGTACATGTGTTATTTTATTTGAGACAGGGTTTTTCTTTGTAGCCTTGGCTGTTTTGGACTTGCTTTGTAGACCAGACTGGCCTCAAATTCACAGAGATCCACCTGCCTCTGCCTCCCTGAGTGCTGGGATTACAGGCTCATGTGCTACTTTTGTACACTGTAAATACGCTTCAAGTAGAAACCTTAACGATGTCACTATACTCCTTAGTTTGCAGAAGAAGACAAGGAAGAGAGTGAGGAAGAACTAATCTTCACTGAGAGCAACAGTGAAGTCTCTGAGGAGGTGTGTACAGAAGAGGAGGAAGAGGAGGGACAAGAGGAGTCTCAAGAGGAAGAAGAGGAGGACAGTGAGGAAGAGGAAACTACTGCTGAAGCCATAAAGCATATGAATGGCACTGTAAGCCACAATAGTGTTAATTCTGACAACTCGAAGCCAAAGACATTTAAAAGTCAAATAGAAAATATAAATTTAACCAATGGCAACAGTGGAGGGACACAGAGGAACACAGAGTCACCAGCCGCCATTCACCCTTGTGGAAATCCCACTGTTATTGAGGATGCTCTGGAAAAGATTAAAAGCAATGACCCTGATACCACAGAGGTTAATCTGAACAATATCGAGAACATCACCACGCAGACCCTCTCTCGGTTTGCAGAGGCTCTCAAGGAGAACACAGTGGTGAAGACATTCAGTCTGGCCAACACACACGCTGACGATGCTGCGGCCACTGCCATTGCAGAAATGCTCAAGGTCAACGGGCACATCACCAGCGTGAACGTGGAGTCCAACTTCATCACCGGCAAGGGGATCCTGGCCATCATGCGAGCCCTGAAGCACAACACGGTGCTCACGGAGCTGCGCTTCCACAACCAGAGGCACATCATGGGTTCCCAAGTGGAGATGGAGATCGTCAAGCTGCTCAAGGAGAACACCACGCTGCTGCGGCTGGGCTACCATTTTGAGCTCCCAGGACCAAGAATGAGTATGACAAGTATTTTAACAAGGAATATGGATAAACAGAGGCAAAAACGCATGCAGGAGCAAAAACAGCAAGAGGGGTCTGAGGCAGGTGCTACGCTAAGGACCAAAGTCTGGCAAAGAGGGACGCCTGGCTCTTCTCCGTACCCATCGCCGAGACAGTCTCCCTGGTCATCTCCCAAGGTCTCCAAGAAAGTCCACACCGGGAGGAGCAGACCCCCATCTCCTGTGGCCCCGCCCCCGCCCCCGCCCCCTCCTCCCCTTCCTCCTCACCTGCTCCCTCCTCCTCCTCCTCCCCCTGCTCCTCCTCTCCCAGAGAAAAAGCTCATCACCAGAAACATTGCAGAAGTCATTAAACAGCAGGAAAGCGCCCAGCGGGCTCTACAAAATGGACAGCGAAAGAAGAAAGGGAAAAAGGTGAAGAAACAGCCAAACAACATCCTCAAGGAAATAAAGAATTCTCTGAGGTCAGTGCAAGAGAAGAAAATGGAAGACAGCTCCCGGCCCTCTACCCCACAGAGATCGGCTCACGAGAACCTCATGGAAGCCATCCGCGGGAGCAGCATAAGACAGCTCCGGAGGGTAAGTCCCCCCAGACCCTAAGGTGAAATGGATTCCGTGAGTCAGCCTCCACGGACGGCTGCTCTCAAAGCCGCCTCTCCAAATTCCTGCCAATCTTTTAAATATTTGTGCTCGCGAGACCACAAGTGTGAACCCAAGGGGTGGGTGCAATGAGTGAGCGAATTAACACATTTCCATGCCGACCAGTACATTTGTGCCAACTTATTGTCTCAGCCAGGATCATTTTGCGATACTCCAACATATAAACATTCAAATTTCCTTAAAAAAACAAAACAAAACAGTATCATCTGCATTCTAAAAGGATCCATCACTTGTCAGAATGTTCACCACGAAACTGTAGGTGATTCGCCTCCACATTTACAATGTAGATGCCACATCTATATTATTCTTGGGGAATACTGCTACAGGTAAACCCTCCCGGTGGTGGCGTGAGAATTTACTCTAACATGCACGTCGCTTCGCTGTTTTTGTAGGTGGAAGTTCCCGATGCTCTGAGATAGAACAACCCTAGAAGAGGACCCGGAACTGGTCGGTGGTGTGGCCCCAGGTGCTTTGGGAGCTGTTGCCAAACTGCCTTCTTTAATTTGAAATACTTCCCAACTTTAAAGATAGGGTCACTGTGGAATTCCAAAGGGAATTTTAAGAAGCAATCAGCATGTTTCTTCTGTAAATATGGAAATAAACTTTTTTTTTTTTTTTATGTCATGAGAGTCATATGAGCAGAAGCTTCGGAAGATCTCTTCTCATCTCTGGCTCTCGATTACTGAGCTCAAATCACTTAAAGAAATGTATTTTTGTAATCCCAATAACCTTAGATTAAAGTTCTTTTCTTTCTTTCTTTTTTTTTTTTAAAGAAACTAATATTTTTCTGTGAGTTAGTACATCGGCTGGGTATGTGTAATATTGCTAAATATTAAAATCATTACGTTCTCACACCAAAAGTGTTCACGCGCTTGGCATTTGCTTTCCTTCTTCATGTCCAAGAAATTCTGGCCAAATCTCTTCTAGAAGACAAAATTAAAGAACTTTAACTCTTTGGGTAGTATGAAACAGGTTTGGGAAAGATTTCCATGTGGCCATTTCCCCGGATTCACTGATCTGTAAAGACAGGCGGCAGCAGCGGCTGCTGTGTTTTCAGTCCAGTGGACAACCAGAAGTGGATCTAATCATTACTAATCAACAAGTTCTGGAAAGGAGAATGTGGGATGTTGGCAAGTCCCATGGGTGGAAAAAGTGCTCAGGAAATGATGGAGGGTAAAGATGAGGGTGTCCTCCTGTGGCTGCTGAAGAACTTGCAGCCATCCCCCTGGGCACTCCTGCTGACACTGCGGGCCCAGTGAATCTCAGCTCTATCTGTTTTATCTTCCCTTCCCCTTGCTCTACCTCCTAGCCTTTGGTTTCTCCCTTCCCTGTTCTTCCCCCATCTCTCCATCTCTTCCTTTCGTTCCTGCCTCTTTTTCCCTTGAATCATTTCTTTTCTTGCCCTCGGCAAATCTGAATGGTGCCAACACCCACAAACCCACACTTGAGGCCCTAGGCTTGCTTGTTCACAGTTCCAACTACAACTCCTCTCTTCCCTTGCCTTTCAAGAGTCATCTGAATTCAGGTAAGAGAAACATGCTTTCCAGACCTCCTTCTCTCCGTTCTCCTGATCCTTTAGCTCATGGGGGGTGTCACTCCTGCCCTGCAGGTTCTCTGAGACATTTAGTCAATAATGCTTTGCCTCATGGGCAGAGCTTTTAATGCTTTCCAATTGAGAGGATTGTGTTATGCTTTGAAACATCTCTAGGAATTCTCAGGATTTTTTTCTGTTCAACCCAGCTCTTAGTATCCCAGAAGATCCCAGAGGCTATATGTTTAGTCAGTGCCTGGGACCCACACTAGGAGGCAATAGATGAGGGTCATTTTCTGAAATAAGGTATTTTGTGTACATTTCACAGCATTAAGAGGTGCCACTGCCATGTAATAAGCAGGAAGTGGAGCAGCAGAAGATATAGCGTGTGAAGCTGGGCACTGTTGACTGACTGCCCAGCGGCTCTTGTGCACTGCTTCTGACTGCTTCCACCCAGATGCTGCCTCCCAATGGCCCTTACTCCTAGACACTCAGTGTCAACTGTGTGTCTAGGAGTCCTGTGGTCAGCTGTGTCCTGTGGTGGTGGCGTTTTTCACTACTTCTAGCCTTTCCATTTGTGTGCAAAATCACATTTTGTGTTCCCGTGCACAAAGATTCAGAAGAGAATTCCAGACCTTTGCTTGCAGACAGGCTCTAGTACACCTACGGTAGGGAGGAATGACAGTGGTCCCGAGGAACCGCTTAGTAAGACCACACAGGACTTCCTAAAGGGGAATGGCTGATAGCGTGTTACCGGTTTGTGGAGGCTGGATACGCTTCTCTCCAGAAGCAAGTGTGTAGAAGACTCATTTCTTCTTTGCATTGCAAAAGGCTGCCTTGCTGGATCTTTGTGAACCTTAGGAGAGTACAGAATGACCTACAAGGCATGTCACAAACACAGAATACACATGGATTCTCATGGCTCACAAAACAGTATATCACAAAGTTCAGAAAAAGGACAAGTGCGATGTAGCCAGGTATCCAGTGAGCACGTTAGTAACGAGAAACAGGTGTAGGATATGCTCTGTCAGGATCTGGTACTGCAAGAAGGCAGAGCACTATAACCCCCACTCAACAGCCTGAAAACTCAGAGCTGATGAGAAAACTAGGTCAGCTTCTATAAAAAGCAGTCAGCTCACTGAGGGCTACCCAAGCCCAGAGGAAGTGTTTAGGTGTTGATTTATGTGTGCACACTGGTCTCTGAGAATACACCTCATCCTGAGTTGAAATTGGGCCCAAATCACGTCTCACTATGCTTCCCAGGCAGTGCTCCATGGTCAAAGGTTTTAATAACTTTGTGTCAGCAAGATCTTGGCTTACCACCTGCCCTGAGATACTTACTACCAAGGAGTGAGAGGAGGCAACAGGAACAGGCCATGCCACACTGAGATGCTTCAAAGACGGAAGTAAATCAGTATGTTCCTGTAAAGACTTCCTAACAACTTCCTTTTGTGACTAAGTCTTCCAGGTGCTGTGTGTGTGTGTGATAAGAGAGAGGGAGGAAGGGACACACACACATAGAGAGAGAGAAAGAGTGAGAGAGAGTGAGAGAGAGATAGATTCAGTAAACAATCTCTTCTGTAAGGGTCTTGAGGCAGACTTTTATTTCTGTTCATCAAGAAATGATATAAAAGGTTAAAGATTACTGGATGGATTTTATTTCCACCAGTATTTCCTAAGTGCTTACTATGTATCCAGACATTGTTCCAAACACTAGGAACCAAGGAGCTAGGACCTGTATTCCGGTGCCAGGAGGTGCTTACAGCATGCCTCGCCCTTAGTACCCAATGGTTGCAAGCTGAGGTACTCTGCTTTATGCTAGGAGTATCGCTGAGCCAGAAACACTGTACATTAAAGCCGTGGGAATCCCAAGGACACCAACCCTTTCAGGAAGGTCAACTCCCTCTTTAATTGACAAGTTGTTCAAAAATAGGCATTGGGTGGCTTTTGTTGGTGAGTCACATTTTACCACAGACCCTTTATCTAAAGTGGACATGGATGAAGGAGAGCTTTTTAGACAGGATGACAATTTGAATTTTTTAATAAAGATGTTACCAGGCTTAAAACAAACACACACACACACACACACACACACACACACACACAAGCAACACAACCTAAAAGCCCAATGATGTGGGGTAACATTTCAGTTAGGGTGTGTTATAGTAGGTGACCAGATATCAAGATTTAATGTTATTTGTTGTGTAATAAGACAGTTTGATGAAAAGTCGGTGTTTAAGTGAACTTTTCAGGGCTGGGGGATGGTTCAGTTGGGAATGCGGTTTGGTACTCAGGAGCCTGCACAAAACCCTGCTGTGGCCATCCCAGCACTGAGAGGGGGAACAGGAAGACCCTTGAGCCTTGCTGGCCAGCCATGCCAGTTGAACAGCAAGTCCCAGGTCCCAGTCTGCTTCTAGGAAGACATCCACCAACAGGCATGGGGATGCAGATGAAGGCCAGAGCAAAACCTGTCTGTCGCTGTTTGGGTTCAAGAGCAAAGGGCTTTGAGCTCCTTGTAGCATCTTGGATCCTCACAGTGGAGGTTAGCTTAGCTTTAGAGAATGCTATGAAAAGGAAAGCAGCCAGCCAAGTCTTGTGTACCACTTGAAAGCAAGCTAGTTATGTTCAGCTCCCAAATTCAAAGCTGTTATGCTGATTCAAAGAGATAATGGTTGAAATATGAGCATACAGGATTGGTCTCAGTCCAACTCAGGCTGCCTATGGACAGCCATTAAGTTCTCTCTCAAGAGAGTACCATTGGGGAGCAGCCAGGTGGCCCCTTCTCACCGACATCACACAGTGACATCACACAGTGTTCCCATGTGTGATGGTGGGCAGTGGTCAGGATACTGCTGGGAAGCTGTGCAGGCTCCACTAGTAGAGAAAGGAAAGTACTTACAACCGGAAAGTGAAAATCTTGTCCCTGAGGTAAGCTACTGTATCCTCTAAATCCTTGTTTTGAGATTAAACAAATTGGCACCTAAGGCTGATGCTTCTGTGCACTGCTTTTTAGACAAGTTCTTTCCCAACCAAAACAGTGCAATTAGCTGTAGAGTAATTACCCCCCCCCCCCCGTAAACATTTGGCAACATAAAAATTATGGAGTCATATATTTAAATTTTTAAAAATTAGGCTCCCAATTGAGAAGCATTCCAATCCACTCTCCTCAGCTTAAGCGTAAGCCATCATTGGCACGAGTACTACATTTCTCTTCCTGAATGAAATCTGATGACCCATTACTCACTGTTATATAAACAGCAACAAATGGTCTAGAGTCACTTTAGGTTACAATTTTGCAAGTTGTCCTTTGTAAATTTATCACAGAAGAATCCTCATTCGAAACCAGAAGATTCAACTAGAAGCCCAAACCTGTCCTTGACCTAGATAAAGAGTTGGAAAATAAATTACACTAAAAAGAGAAAAGTCAGAGAAAAACCACTTTGTTTATGCCTGTTTGTGACTGTCTTCTTGTAAGTTACTTTAGCCTTATACAGCTTCTGCTTTTCTGACACAGCCCCGGTTGAGGGATGCTTAGCCTGCAGGCGATAACGGACAGAATCAAGGCAGTATCAACATTTCTTTTCTACATGCTGCCAAGAAGCCTGGCAACTCCTCACTCAGAACACCTGACTGCAACTTCAAGCTCTCAAAACCCACGCTGGATCAGTCACCTTCCTATAGAGAATGGCCCTAAAGAAAACTGCAAAAACAAAACAACAAAAACACCCCCCCCAAAACAAACAAACAAACAAACCCCTACAACCTCCAAAAGAAATATAACAAACTAAAGTAAAATTACATAATTGCTGGTTAAAACAGATGAAACCAAACCTCTTTGTAAAAACTGACACTTAGTTGCTAAAGAAATATGAAATGAGTAAGAAAATTTTAAGATATACTGTCAAGGTTTACTTTAAATTCACAAGAAGGACCTTGAGGTAATTCCAAATAAATTCTTTGTAATTCTTACACAACCACTTGTTAGGCATTTGGGATTACTCAAACGACAGTTACCTAATCTGATATTTCAAATGGAAAAATGTTTTAACTGTGATAGAGGAGAGAATGTACGCCAGAGATAGTCAAATCAAGGAAGAGTATTTAAAAGTAGTAATTAAAACGTAAACATTATATTCAGTCATATCTTCTGGGCCATTCTGACCTCGGGTTTGCATAAGAGGCTTTGGCTTAGCTGCATGGTTATAACGTATTTTCCTTTCTGTTGCATTTTGTTTTGTTCTGAAAACAGAACACAGCATTCCACTCAGATCTTTCTATTTATAAAGCATGAAAAAAGCAAAGCTTATACATCTAAAGGTACTGAAGTAACATTTTAATTTCTTACCCAGATCATTACTGATAGCTAATGTCACCTGTGCCAAGGTCATAAGGCAGTTAAGATCTGCCTTTGCATTATTATTTAACTTCTGAAAATTTCATTTATTAAAGCTAAAACCAGCATATGCCACCTCAAGGATGTTAAGAGAACAATCAAAAGTTATCTTTGTACATCTAATATTTAGTGTCAGTCAGCTGTTCTGACTTCACCAATTAATGTCTTTCTGTTCTTTCTTGATCATGAGCACACCTCCAATCCTGGGTCAAGTTAATTCACAAAATCACTAAAACCTGTTAAGAATCAGAAACAGTTTTAAAAAGGTTCCTCAATAGGCTGGGTGTAGTGGTACAGGCCTTTAATCCCAGTTTTTGGGAGGGAGAGGCAGGAGGATCTCTTTGCAGGTATAAAGGGACCTAGTCTCAACAAAGCTTCCCCCCTCCCCCAAAAACACAGAAAGAAGGTCCTCAGATGGATTAGTACTATATATGGCCATAGGAAATTTTTTCTACTACCATAATCTTACAGAGTAATGGTTTTCAAGTTGTGGGTCATGACCCCTTTGGCAGAGGGTCAAATGACCCTTTCACAGGGGCTGCATATCAAATAATTACGATTTGTGACAATAGCAAAATTATAGTTACAAAGTAGCAACAAAATTTTATGGTTGGGCTCACCACAACATGAGGAACTATAATAAAGTGTCACAGCATCAGGAAGGTTAAGAACCACTATTATAAAGGTTAGTTCATGGAGAGATTTCATTCTAGTGTTTATTTTCAGTATATAGTAAGTAACTAATTATTTTTAATGGCTTTATTGTAGGGCTCTGAGATACTAACACATGTACTCAAGTGAATTTGTCTTTGGTTTAAAAGGTATTTCAGACCCCTGGAAACTTATGAAGACATATGGATACGATAGAAAATGACTTCTCATGTCTGTTTCTTCCCATTAAACTGACTAGTTCACCATGTTATAAAAGGAGGAAAGGGAGAAATGGAATAGGAAGGATAGATGGGAGGGTAGTGTAGAGGGAAGAATGAGGAGGGATAACACTAATGGCCTTTTGAGAAAGCCATATGGAAACCTCATGCTAGAGATGCTTCCTAACACATACACGAGTAACTTAAATGGAGGCTATAAAGGCGGGGGCGGGGGGGGGGAACAGTACCCTAAATAGACACCATTCGCTGCCCCAAACCAAAAGCCTACTATACCAATGGGTTACCTCTTTTTGAGTTGCTGGCTAATGGGTTCCACAGACCTCCAAACATTATCAGCATTGTTTCCCAGCAGACACTTTGCATAATAATCGCTTTTGTGCCACCTGTTTCTTTCAGCCTGACAAATACAAGCTGTTTTACTTCTCCGTTTTTTCTCTGATAAACCTGAAGTGCATGCAGTCAAAGCAGACCGTCCCCTTTCTCAGTAAAACTAGGACATTGGGTTTAAATGTCCATGTTGTTCCTGGGCTCCTTGGAAGAACTCCCAGTCTTTGACAGTACCTCTGCTGGTTAAAAATTATTCAGGTACTCACTTTGCAAACTATTTTTTCTTTCAGGTAAGTTGTGTAAGAGTTTATAGAATACTTACGTCTAAGTAAAAACACTGTCTATTAATGACTACAAAGAAACTAATGAAATAATTTGGATGTGCAATCAAAAGCTCAAACTCATTTCAACCCCTAAGTCTCTTGCAATGTCTAAATGTCTGGGCAAGGCATGCTGAGTGTCTACCATGTGTTACAGGCAAAGGCTGACTCCTTCAGCTTTTAGGGGCAGAGACGGGCACAGGTGCTGGTGGCTTCTATCAACACTCAGTAGATAAGGTGAAATTTGTAGCCACAAACCTCTACAAATCCAGAGCATTCATACCATCTTTTCTGTAATGAGCTGCGAGCGTATCTTTCTCGGACTTCTCAAATTTAAATTTCTTAAAAAAACTTTTCTTTAAGTTCTATGTGTCTACTTTGCTGCTATGTGTGTTTGTGCGCCACACAGGAGCCAGGTGCCGAGAAAGCCAGAAAAGTTTGTTGGATCCTCTAGGGCTGAAGTACAGACAGCAGTAAGCCTTCATGTGGGTGCTGGGAACTGAACCCTGGGGCCTGTTAGAGCCAGTGCTCTAAATCTCTGCCACCGCTCCAGCTCTGAGCAATTTGAGTCTGAGTTAAAAGACAAGAGAAAATGGGAGAAAAATGGTGTCGAGTGGAGACGTGTAGCAAGCAATGTAAGATGTTTCAACTTTTCTGTAAAGGATTTCCAGTTGGACTGTTCAATGTGTGTATACTTGTCCTTCAGGAGTCCAATCTTCATCTAGATAAGTAAAACAGAACAGGATAATTCTAAGGCATGCTGCTCCTGTGACAACTTTTTCAAACAGTTTAATACATTAAGTGTTCACATTTGTACAACAAAAAATTTTCACAGAACAAAGCTCTTGAAAAGCGTTCTGCCGCATCCTGCACATCCAAAGCCAGCTTCAACTTGAGACTCCCAGTTGGGCCAGGGTCAGTGGAATAGAGCACGCTACTTATCAACAACTAAGCTTCCGGTTTAAATGGGCATCACCTCTATCTACTACTGTCTATTAAATGTCCCACACGAACCATGTTCGGTACTTATTAAAACTCCTACTGACTCTAGGATCACTCCAGTCTGGAAGACCTCAACATTTCTGGTTTGAAAGTCCAGCAATCTGAGCTTGCACTGTTAATGTTCCACACAGAGGCTCTGCACCACACAGGCTTCACAGCAGGCACTGAGCAGCCAACAGGTCTCCCAGGAAACACGCTACAGAATTCTTTTACTCACCCTGTTTACTTCATGGCATATGCTGCCTCTCAGGGCACGCAGGGATACCTCAACCATTACCCAGCACTGTTGTGCACGCTTGGCTTAGACTCAACAGTTAAAATTTTAAACTTGTTTTAATGTCTTAATAAACAAATAAGACACACTATTTTACACTCTTTGGGTCAAATTAATTTTATTATGCTCCTTGATGAATTGCCACCAGTGCAACATCTTATTTACTACACATTTCAAAAAAAATTCACATACTAAGCAGAATTTCAGTTGATAAATGGAACTGAATGATTGAAAATCTTTATGAATTTCATAATACAATATGTGGCTAGCTGAAATTGTCTATCACATAGCATTTAGATATAAAAGGCCTCATGCTAGTTTGTTAAACGCAAAGGCTACCAGACAAGCGCGTAGCTGGATATACCCACGAGGCTTCCAGATGCTGCACAGGAAGAGTGCCACCCACAGTGCAAGACGGTGGAGGGCTGAGACAAATGCCTGATGCCTTACTCAGTAGAATGGATTTAGTCTTCATGCCTGGACTGAATCCCGCAGCTCCTGTAATTTAGACTTCACACAAAAATAAAAAGCAAAACAACAAAAAGAACCCTTTTCTGTATGAAAAAGAATAAACTCAATTACCTTTGGCAAATAATACAGCCCCCGTATATATCCAACTCAAAGAACTGAGAATCTTCCTAGATAAGCTCCCAGTCAAACATCAAATGACCAAAAGGTAAGGGACATCAGAATTGGCATTATCTCAAAAACATTTTTTGGAATTAAAAATATTTTTATAATGTGAAAAAGAAAAATACAAAAGCCCAATGTTACTTATTTAAAATAATTACTATTTACACAAATTCCTAATTTTATGGGTAGTTGTTCAGCCTCATCCACACCAGTCTCACCGGAGCTCAAGCCACATGAAAATGACAGTAAAGCAGAGAAAGGTTCCTAGCAGCAGAGCGAACTGTTTTTATAGGAAACACAAAATTGAGAATCTTTCCAATGTGCTTTAATTACTCTTGCAAGGAGGGCAACATTCTTTGAATAACTTAACTATCTTACTAGACCATTTAACTGCTTTCAGCGACTAAACCTTTTAAATTATTCCTGACAGTAACTAGATGCACGGTCACTAGAGTTTATGTGATAAACTGGTTAAAATTCAAACCGTATCTTACAGGTCCAGCCTGTCAAGACCATGTCAATACTAGATTTGGTCGGTATACTTCTAGATAGCGTAATTTTTAGTTGGATAGTGCGACTCTAATGAATATACTTGAAGCTACATTCTGCATACAACTCAATGTGAGAAAAATGTTCGTATTTAGATCAGATAATCGTCTACCTAAAATTTATTTAAAGTAGGTAGGTAAGATAATTATTACTGTAAATGTGAACTGGTCACCTTTAGGCAGATTAGTGAATTGTAACGAGGCAAGGAAACCCTAATTTTAACATACCATGTTGTATGTGTAACAACTGTTCAGGCTGTAAAGGCTTATTTTAAAAAAGTCTATCATATCAATTATGTATTTTAAGAAATATGCAATTGGGACCATCTTAAGAAAAATATAACTCTACACCTGATATTTGACAAAAACCTTGAGAAACCATCAAAGTAAAAACATATAGTATATGCAAGACTTAGCATTCATGTATACTTTTGCCAAAAAAAAAAAAAAAATCTGACTTTTACAATTGGTATTTGTGAATACAATAACTATAAAATTTTTATAGTTCCATTCCATTTTATGCATTCCATTTTAGCCTTGTTCTGATACCACTTTGAGCCAAATACGGGCACGACAACAATCGTTTAGGATGCATGGAACTACATCCAAAAATGTTAACTTAAACTATTTTGAGGACTGATTCCAAGTGTTGAATTCCTTGCTAAAAAGAGCCTGTCACAATTGTCACAGCATTAAGGTAACCTTGGTCATGTACAGGTATGTGAGGGTTCATCAGGGTTCCTGCCTGCAGAGACCTCTGCTTACCTACAGCAGGTAACACTGCTGCTGTTCTTTGCATTAGTATGTCTGTAGTGATGTTAAGCAAAACATATTACTACTATTGAAAACCTGCATTAGTGTAGTGGTGTCTAGAGAATTGTGCAATGTATCCGCTTCAACATTCATGTGTGGCATCATATTCAAAAGGAAGGGGCTAAAGAAACTAAAGTTTACATCACTTGAAAAAGAATGTAGTGCTATACTAAATTTTATTAAGAAAATTTAGGTACAGAAAAAGTAGGGTATGAAAATAGTGTTCTCCTTCTGGCATTCTAACTAAATTACATTAAGGTTTGTGTCAGTCTCACACATAATTAAACTCCCTTGTTGATGGAATGAAAATATTCACAAATCACGTGAGCATCCTGCTGTAAACTTGCACACAGTAACAGGGAGTAGCTTTTTATAAGATTATAACAAACCTTTACAGATTAAATGAGGTATTGCACAGATTAATTTAAAAAAAAAAGCAAAAAAAGGCAACAAAAATATACAGCAAATTGGTAGAACATTTACATGATAATTTTACAGATCAATAGACAGAAAGTAGTGTTTAGTATTTCACCTTAAAAATATATATATAATATATAGATCAGTCTTCCCACTCATCATCATCCTCAAAATCTTCTTCATCATCATCATCTTCATCTTCATCTAAAAATTAACCCAAAACCAAGAGTTAAGCACACATAAATAAAATGGCATAATTTTCGGGTCACTTCTCCAAGTAGCTAACTCCTGAACGATACATTTAATTCTAAAATCTACTTACTACGATAGTTTAAAATTAATCCAATAAAATCATTCTACAGTCTCTAAATGGTGAAAAAGATGAGACCAGAAGATCCAAGATTTGGGTTTTAGCCCCTCAGTACCTATGTGAAAAAGATCTCGGTCAGTCTGAAACTTGGGTTTCTGAACTTAGGGTTCAGATGCTGAGCACTTAGGGTCTACATGCTAAGCACAACTACTTTCATATTCTTTACATAAATTTGCAAAGCAGAACTTAAGTTTTTTTCTCTTCCCACAATCTGCTTTTCTCCCTTGACTCTAGCTGCCCTGTCTTAGTGACATCATCATTCTTTCAGGTGAGCAGGCATGAGTCATTTACGATTTATTTTTCCTCTTCCTCCATCAAGTCTCTGCCTTTCTACCACAGTGCATACCTACTGTCAGGTTTTGCCTCAATTACTGCTGTTCTCCAGTAGATTCACCTTAGGCAGAAGGAGGGATACTCAAACTCTACATTTAAAATGTCACCTTCTTCCTCTTAAAGGTCTCCGAGGCTGCCTACTGCTGCCCGGGAGCACTCTGAGCTCCCTCTGAACCACCACGTGACTTGCGCAGCCCTTCTGCTCTCCTAGGTCTTCCTACTTCTCTGTTTCCACTCACCATCTCTAGCACAATCATTTGCAGTTCCGTCCCTCACTCTCTTTAAACTTTTCCTTCACATTCCAGCATCTGAAGTAGCTCTTTCCTCCTTCTGGCTGTCTCATCACCCAACGAGAAAGCACCTCATGAAAGATGCTTTTCCTGACCATTCTGTGTAACCCTACTCCAGAATCAATAACTGTCTATTCCATTTCCCTTTCCTCATAATTCTACTACCTCAGTTTCTTAGACTGAATTTATATCTTCATACTAGAATACAAGCTCCACAAAGGCTAAAAATTGGTTTGTTATGTATCAGAGGAAAATTGGTTTGTTATGTATCAGAGGATCCACAGCACAGAAGTACTGTTTAGTGGTAGTCAGTCATTACTCTCTGAATGAATTCAGGGTTTGATGTCATCCAATTCTACAAGCTCAGGTCCACATTCTATCAGTTTCTCCATACCTACACCTCACAAAATCTAAGAAGGCCAAGTTTATAAGTGACACTACTGAATACTTATATTTAAAACAACAAAGAACCAGAAAGTACCCAGCATATTACACTAAATATGTAGACCAGATAAACGCACAGAGTATCTTCTCTTCCTCTGTATGACAACGATCCTATAAGGAACTATTTCATTATTAGTATCAGAATCTGAAAAGTAACAGAGGGGAGAGAAAAGCAAAAGAAATCTAATCCCCTCTCTCTAGCATTCCAATTTTTTGTTTGTAAAACAGGGTTTCTCTGGGTAGCACCGGCTGTCCTTGAACTCAGAGATCTGCTGAGCTCTGCCTCCCCAGTGTTAGGATTAACACTAGCATACCACTCAGCATTCCAAGTTTTAAAATAAGGTCTTTTGATCTGGTATTAACTGATTTTTGTGCAGGATGAATGCACTCCTGTGCACGTGCATATTCAGTTTTGCCGGCACCTTTCCGCAGCAGGCTGTCCCTTTTCAAGTGTGCACTTTCTGTCCATCACTGTGTTTATCTCTGAACTCCTCTATTTTTCCTATTGGTCAGGGTGTCCATTTTTGTACCAGTGCACGCTATCTTTGCTACTATAGCTCTCATTAACAGAATACGCAATCTCATGCCTTGTTTAGAGTCCACTTGTCAAAGATTCTATTAGCATTTTCTCCTTCCTTCCTTTCTTTCTTTTCCAAACAGGGTTTCCCTGTGTAGTCTTGGTTAGCCTGAACTAGCTTTGTAGATCAGGCTGGCCTCAAACGCACAGAGATCTATCTGCCTCCAGAGGCTCTGGGACTAAAGGAATGTGCTACCATGTCCGGCTGATTCCATTAGCATTTCCCAATATGGGAAATTCATCATTTTTTATCCAGTTTTTCTTCTAGTTTATGTTTGGCTATGGTGTCCTGATACCTATAAAATTTTAGTCAGATCAGCCACTGAAGAAACAATATGATTAAATATGCTGTAAAACTCGTTAACAGTGAGCTGCTCAATTAGCAGTGAAAATGGTAACACAGAAAATTACAAAAACAAACAAACTGCAGAGCTTCAGCTGTCATATGAAAGCATCCCCACTGCCATTTAGATCATTGGAAAATACCTGAGGAATGAATGGCTTTGCTCCTTTTCTGCATCACTTCCATGAGTGCACCCACAATTCCTGAAGTGGGTGCGGGTGTTGGTGGTGTGGACTCTTGGCCATCAGACACCTCGGAGGAAAAAATTATCCAGTTCAATTACAAATCCTTGGCAGAGAATCTCTGTGGCTGCAGGGGGCAGAGTACTTGCCCTGTAAGCATTAGGACCTGAGCTCTGATCTCTAGCCCACATACTGCAAGGTGAGATAGCTTATCTGTAACTGAAGTGCAAGGTGGAGTGTTTTTAGCCTTTAGAAGATGATTAAATAATCTTATTTTCTCGAAGTCAGAGAATCCAAACTTACACACCATCACTGCTGTAAATTCTCAGAGTTGGAATTTCTTTCAATTGTCTAAGGACTCTTATTTTTTATTTCAAATATAAACCTTTAGTGTTTAAGAGTATGCTTCCATTTTCAGAGTTACTTGCTTGGACTTACCATGATTACTGCAACTGCTTCTAAGCAGGGCTACTTTAAATTCCCCTTAGTTTAGTAGGTTCTTTAAAGTATCTTTTATTTAAAGTATGCAACAATTCACCGCAAACATACTGTAAGAATCCATCCATGTGAAATTTAGAATAGACAGAAATAGCACGTTGCAATCAGATCAGTGACTGCTGAGAGGAAGTGTAAGATAACTTTCTATGGTGACAGATATTTTATATTTGATGTTAAGTATGGATTACACACCTACAGATATTCACCCAAAATGTGTACATTTCATTGTACACAGCCATTTAAAAAATTATAAAAAGTTAAAGAATAAGCTTCTAAGGTAGACACCTTATAATGAGCTATGGTAAAAGCCCACAACACTAAAAACGTTCAAAATTAAAAGAAGACATTACTTACAGATTTCAACTGAATGCCCTGTCGTATCTGGTCTAAAAGAGCATCCCTTCCTGAGCAGGACACCGGCCGACTATTCTGCTCCACTTTTTTTAGCTGAGCACCCTCTCTAATTTGATCCAAAAGAGCTGCTTTGTTTCCTGAAGGAGCTGGAACTTGATGGTCACCATCAGAAGGCAGGCCAGGGGGAGGGGGAGGGCCTGGTGGAGGCGGAGGGGGAGGAGGAGGCGGTGGTGCTGTGGACCCTGCCACAGACAGCGGTGGAGGTGGTGGTGGGCCTGCAGGTGCTGAAGAGGGCAGCGCTGGCGGTGGGGGAGGGTACATCCTGTTTGGAGGGGGTGGAGGAACAACAACACCAGGCCTGGAAGGAGGCGGCGGTGGAGGTGCGGCAGTGGGAGCTCTTGAAGGTGGTGGGGGAGGAGCCCCTCTTCCACGGGCAGGCGGGGGAGGAGGACCTGAGCTATGAGGAGGGGGAGGAGGAGGAGGAGGTCCTCCCCTTGAGGGTGGAGGAGGTGGTGGTGCTGAAATAAGAGCAGAGAAAAAAAAATAAAAGCATAAACACATTAATAAAGCAATTTACTTTAACACACACAAACTCAGTACAAAACAAAGAGCAAAGCTCTGCAATCTATTTACAGGTGCTATCTTCCAATTTTATTTGGAAACAAATATTGAGCTTAAAAACAACAAAAAATCTTTATAAATTAAAAACAAAACAAAACAAAAAACCTCCCAAAAAACAAACAACAACAACAACAACAACAAAAAACACCTTCCTGAAGCCTGGCACCATGGTGCATGCCTGTAATTCCAGCACTTGGGGAGGCTAAGGTAGGTGGATCTGAGTTTACAAAATGAGTCCAGGAGAGCCAGGGCTACACAGAGAAACCCTGCCTAAAATAAATAAATAAAATGAAATAAAAAAAAAATTACCTTCCTGCTGTCAATAAACAATACAATCTAGTTATGAGGGCGATAAGAAAAACATGGGGGAATAAATAAGCTGCGCTCCCAAGCCTGGGAGTCCAGAGGCTCTGATCTCCCTCTGGACTGTCGGCATGCACATACACACACAGCTGTGCATGGCATGCACATGAAGGCCGTTACACAAAGGGTAAAAGCCAAGTCAGAGCTCGTTGGCAAAGCTGCCTAACATGCCCTGCGGTTGGTCACCAGCACCCACCCCAACCCCAAAATACTTAGGAAAATACACTTTTTTATTTATATAACAATGTAATTAAACACTGCCTGTAAGCCTTATCTTATATTTTGACTGTAATTACATTTTCATAGTAACTGAGTGACTTCCCTTTAGAATTAAATACATTTAGATTTTGTATAAAATAAACTTAGATACAAATTTTATAGTGTGGCAAGATTAAAATTAACATTAATTAGTTAAACCTAAACATAAAACTTTCTCTTTGAAACGTAAAGTTCCATTGTCTACTTTACATGTCCTTCTACTTTGTAATACAGTGTTTTACATCACCAAAAACTGCTCAGCAGTTCTAGACATGGTATCAAGAGAGGATGGTTGTTTGGTTAAGTGTTCAATTACTTATTTAGAACTGAACTGATTATTAATGACAGATTTTTTATAAACTACAGAATTACACTGACGTTATTAATACAAACTTAGCCCTACCACAATAGCCACACTTCTATCCTTAGTCTCATTAAGTGAGGATGTAAGACATATTAAGAAAAATAGTCAAAAGTACAGATATCAGAATATACTGGGAAATAGTAAATTCTTTAAGGAGTAAATCTTGTATTTCTGGAGACTGATTTTTACCAATGACATAAGCAAATCCATGTAACATTAAGTCCTACATCATTTCTCCATTTGTTTAAAGACTGATCAGAAAAAAGCTGACTTTTAGGGACCGTAGAAGCATACCTAGATACTTAGCTATGTAAAGTGTACAGAGAACTGAGTAACATTATTCAAGCCACTGTTACGAGCATCTGCCTGGCACAAGAGGAAAGGAGCTCTCACACTACTGACACTTCCATTATTTTTAAATATGTATTTATTTTGTTTCATCTACATTAAGTGTTCCACCTGTGTGTACGCAGTACACCATGAGCGCCCATGGAAGCCAGAACTACCGTTACAGCTGTAAGGTGCCATGGGGGAGCTGGGAATCAAACCCGAGTCCTCTGAGTGTTCCTGCCTGCGAGTGTTCTTGCCTGCGAGGTCTGACAGCAAACTTCACTGCTTTTTTTTTTTTTTTTTAAATAATGTATTTCCAATCCTTACTTTGTACTATCTCTATTCTATCGAACACAGAAACACACCACACCACAGGGACAGAGGTGAAAGAATTAGCAGAGAAGAGTAAAGACAGCTGTCACGTGGTTAGGACAGATGCACCAAGATGCTAGGCACTCAGGCACCAGTGTGAGAAACTTTAAGAGTCACCCACAAACACCACAAGGAAATGGCAATTGTTATTTTTCAATTTTTTTTTTAAAAAGTAACGAAGAGGAAAACATGAATGTTACAAAAATAGATACTTTCAATACAGATCCAATATACAATACATATATAAATACCCTTGATTAATCTACAAGAATGTGGAATCTCATAGGAGGGAAAAAAATCCTTGTGTTCATGCACAGAAAAAGGCTGACACATTTGAAAATTATTAATTCAGGCCAGGTGGTGGTGGTGCATGTCTTTAATCCCAGCACTCCTGAGAGAGAGGCAGGCAGATTTTTATGAGTTCGGCCAGCCTGGTCTACAGAGCAAGTTCCAGGACAGCCAAGACTACACAGAGAAACCCTGTCTCAAAAAATCAAAATCAAAACAAAACAAAACCAAAACCCAACAAACAAACAAAAATCTTTTTGGTCAAAACATTAGTTGTTGAAGGCTGGACTTAAGAAGTCTAGCTACTCTAAAATCAACACAGCAAATCATGCAAAATTCAGAGCACTGGTTCAAACGCTGTTCTACATACCGCTCCACTGTGGTGGACCTGAAGAACAGATTGTTACAAGTTAACAGACTAAATACCTACAAGCTACACATAAAGATACGATGGAAATCACACATTTGCCTTTATAAATCTGATCCCATGACTTTATAAAATAAATGACTTAAGATTTAATTCAAGCAAGACAAATTTCATTAACGTCTCCATTAATTTACATGTGTTGTCTCTAGAAAAAAAAATGTTAATTAGAAAAAAATAAGCCGTTAATTTACCTTTTTGCTCTTAATTAAAAAAAATATACATACATATATATATCTGGGCTGGAGAGATGGCTCACTGCTAAGAGCATTAACTGCTAAGAGGAACCCAGCTTAGTTCCTAACCCATGATGGACCAATGTCCTCTTCTGGCTCTGCAAGCACTGCACCAGGCATAACTGACCTCCATAGAGAAGCACATAATATCCAACCCCCATAAACAAATCCATAATTACAAATAAAATCTTCTTTTTAAAAAACATCTTCTTTACCTCGCCCCTCCCCTTGCTAGGCCACAGAGGAGGACATTGCAGCCAGTCCTGAAGATTCCTAATAAACTAGGGTCAGATGGAAGGGGAGGAGGACCTCCCTTAAGTGGACTTGGAAAGGGATAGGGAGGAGATGAGAGAGGGAGGGTGGGATTGTGAAGAAATGAGGGAGGGGGCTACAGCTGGAATACAAAGTAAATAACCTGTGATTAATATTAAAAAACAAAAACAAAAACAAAAACATTTTACATAAAATCATCTTTTGATGTATAATAGGTTCCACACTGAAAAGGTCTGGTTTTTGAAATATAATTTTTTTTTTTTTTTAAATTTGACATTTGGTGCCAACATAATTTTCAAAGTCTGTGACTTTGTTTTTAGGGTAACTCAATTTAAGGAAAAGCCTTGCCCAACTGTCTTTAAGATAGCTATAGCAAAGTTAAACAAAAAAAAGTTCAATTAGTATGATCCACTTTTCTTTAGGCACAAAAAACAACTTGCACACTTACTAACAGAGCTGAACAGCCCTGAGCACCAGTGGCAAGGCAGAGACATCCTCAAGACCTTCCTGTACCTGGACATACCAGTAAACATTGTACAGCTTGTAAAATGACACTGTAGCACAGTATGTTTTAAAATCTACACTATTTCAAGTATAATTTGTCTGCTAGTAAGATAAATTAGCTCCATGCTAGTTTCTATTGAGCTAGCTGCGTAGACAGCAGCAATATGACCTGTTTGCTTCCACCTTAAGCTATAAAGACTGTGAGACGTTACTATGAACATTTTCAATCAAAGATCAAGTGAGAGTCAGCAGTTCAAAGCAGACAAGGGTAAGCTAAATACCCATTTTCAAATGATAGATTCAAGACTTGAACTGGAGCTCTACCTCAGCTACACTGGTGTGAGCACGGAGTAGGGAAACTGGGTTCCAAGTGCGGACAGTGCAAAGTACTGACTGTGACTGCCAAGGTTACCAATCCGCTTTGCCCCCGACTGTCCTAAGTGTTGGGGAGCTACCAAATCACAAAGCCCTATAAACTACCCACATCAAGGTTGCCAAGAGAAAGTATTACACTCTAGCAGAAAGAATTATTTCAAAAATGAAAGATTTTACATAATTTTAATTTATATTCTGAAAACGTTTTTATTACAGATTATATGGTGCCTTTTATACCAATAATAATGTTAAGTTTTTGCCTGCTCCTTAAAATTTTATTTATTTATTTATTTATTTTATATGTGAGCACTCTTTCTGCATATGTGCCTGCATGTCAGAAGAGGGCATCAGATTCAGTATAGATGGTTGTTGTGAGACACCATGTGGTTGCTGGGAATTGAACTCAGGACCTCTGGAGGAACAGGCAGTACTGAGCCATCTCTCCAGCCCGTCATCTCTTTGTTTTAAAGAGAGGGTCTCACTATGTAGTTATCTACGTATCCCTTGAACCCCAAGGAGACTCCTCACAGGAATCTGCCGGCTCGGCCTCTGGAGCGCTAGGATTAAAGGTCAACCTATCACGCCTCGCTCGCTTTTGTTAGTACCAAAATAATGTAGGATGTAGTGACACTGCGTCAAATTTGCCATCCATAAATTTAACATTCTGTTCAAGGAGGGGCGCATAGTTGCCCACCATAAAGCTAATCTTAGAAAATTCAAAAGAAAAAATAGCCACGTGCCAAAATAGACTAAAAGTTACCTTGCCTTCGGAGTTCATTCTTAACAGCTTCTACACCTCCTGTTTTCTCAATAAAGTCATAAATAACTTTTGATGTTTCTCTGTCTTTAAGCTGGGCCTCAGAGATCCCACACATATCAAAAAGATTCTTCAATTCTGGATCCAAATTATTTAGCTACAAAAGATAGGACAACTTCTAAGTAGGCAATTCTGTTCCAACACAAACACGACAAAACTTAAAATTTACTTATGTCCTTCTGAAGTTAAGATTCACAGACTTTTAGAATGGTTATGTAATTTAAATGCTAACACTAAATATTTTTATTAAGAGATACAAACAAGAGATATTCTATTTTATCTCATCTCTTCTATGCCTTCAAAAAGGGCATCCTATTTCTATTTTTATTAACCCACTCAAGACTAGACCTTGTGTTCATCTATTCCAACTTGTCCTAAGTAAGATTTAGCTTTAATCCTGAATTACACAGAAAGTTTGAAAATTTGAGGGCAAAAACCTCTTTGTGCTATCAGTGCTAATCAAATGAGTAATGATAATGCCTCAAAGAATAATCAGTTTAGAAACAAACAGGATAATTCTGTAACAGGATACTCAGAATTTAATTATACTATTTTTTCCAATAATATGATACATATTCTCCTGAAATTATTACTTAAATTATTTTTTTTGCATTCAAAGCACAAAATCAAGGAAAACAAACATTTTGTCTTAAGAGACTTAGCAACTGTGACAGATTACTATGAATTCAAACCTCAGCAGCACTATATACTAGGTTTAAAATGGTTATATAATTTAAAACTGTTTATGAGCTGTAAAATGGTTTTAAAACTATAAATAAAAATCCAAGGATAAGCCATAGCATTCCTATGTATTTGAGCGATAGGAAATACAACTTAAAAATATACTCACGTCAAAACCCGTATTTGGATCCCATCCAACATGTCCAATGTGCCTAATAGAAAAACAGAAAAATTAGAAAAGTAATGCATACAGTGCCTAAATACCTGAAGTCTGTTATATACAGCCCAATTTCTTTTGCTTCTATACATTTCTTGCAGACATCTTCCATTCTATTTATACATCAAAGTGAAAAAACATTATGTTCAACAACTAGTTGAATTTAAAAAAATGACATCTAATTTTTCTTTTCAGATGAGTTGAAAAGTAAACTGCCAGATTCATGGCACAAGCCTGGCTTGGTAGTACACACACACCTGGACACTTGGAATTCTAGGCCAGCTTGGGCAACACAAAAAATCCACAGTGTTTCAAGAAGCAAGTAATATAAACACTACTGAGATATATCTAATTATTAAAATCAGACGATGTGGGTATTTTTTCTGAAAGCCTGCTCCTTCGGAGATCCTTCTCACTTTTTCCTCATCTGTTCTTTCTGTGTACAACAGAAATTTAAAAAACCTGATGAATGTACACATCCTTCCTGCTGTATTTTGAATGTTAAATGTCCCCCAAAGGCTCGTGTATCTGAACACTGTCCCGAGCTGATGATGTCATATGAGAGGCTGCAGACCCTTTATGAGGTGGAGCCTTGCTACAGGAGTTTACCACTGGTGACAAGACTGAGGTTTATAGCCTGGCCCTGCTCTCTCATCCCAAATGCCCAGCTGGTCCAACACTCCTGTAGTAATGCTTCTCCATCAGGATGGCTGACCTCCCCTCTGGAAAAGTAAACCAAAATAAACTTTCCTCAAAGTTGCTTTTTATTGGAATAGTCTACCCCAGCAACAGAAAAGCGATTATTACATAGTACCTCCCAAACCAAAATCAAAAGCATTCTTTACATAAAAGAATGAGGATCAATTTGGGTGTGGTAGTACACACCTGTAATCCCAGGTACTACTCTGTAAATTCAAGGCCAGCCTAGACAATACAGCAAGATCAGTCTTTGTTACTTTTTAAGTGAAGATAGCACAGAAAAAGAGCCTTACTGGAAATTACTTGGTGTTCCAATATCTGCCTTGGTTAATCTTTTCTTTTTAGCTTTTCCTTTCTTCTTTTCTTTGGTGTGGGAGATGTTGTTGACTTGTGAACCATAAAACCTATTTGTTGTGATTTCTGGATTTTTTATGTCAACTGTAGCCATAGGTAGATTGGGACCTACAAAAAGAGCCAAATTTGTATGAGAGACATATAATTTAAGAGAAGTTTGTAGAATAATTTATAATTTGCTGTATTTTATGTAACTTATGCCTACTTATTTTATCTTAAAACTCATGAAATACATTAATGTCTATAAAATTTAATTAACCTGGTCCCTTAAATTTCTTTTTTTTACTGTAATGCTGGTAAAATGATATATACAACACAAAACAACAGTTATAAAGAAAGTGATGAAATCCTTAACCTTGTCTTCTTTGTTTCAACCTTATTTACAAAAAAAACCCCAAAAAACAAAAAACAAACAAACAAAAAACCCTTAAAAAAATGTTTTACTACCACCCTGTCCCCTACCCCAAACTGGAAGAGTCAAGGACCGGTGTATATATATTATATATATATATATATATATATATGTTGGCTACCAGAAGGCACAAGGCTCAAATACTTAAAGTAGAAGAAATTCTAACACTCAGAACTCTTGCAAAGATCTAATGGTAGAAGTACCTAGGGACCTTCAGAGAATGTCAGTAATTTCTTTAGGAGTTATATAAATGATGCCCACACTTGTGTATGATTCACAAAGATTATCTAAAGAAATAAAAGTCTCAGTACAACACATTCAATTTAAAAATTCTTATGAGTTCCCAAACTTAAAGTCAACACGTTTTTTAAACATCCCATTGTAATATGTAATTCTCTGACAAAACCTCTAAGACCAAGTTTCCTTTGAATTCATTACACTAACAACAATTTTCAAAATATATCAAAATATCACTAGTTATAAAGAAGAATCAAAGCTTGAGTCTGGTGAGTTGGTTTGAATGAAAACGGTCCCCACTGGCTTACATGTTTGAATACAAAGGCCTCCAGTTGGTGGAACTGTTTGGGAAGGAGTAGGAGGTGTGGTCATTGGAGAGCTTTGAGGTTTCAGAAGCCCTTGTCATTCCCAGTCAGCTCTCTCTTTGCCTCTTGCTTCTGGATCCAGAAGTAAACTTTCTGCTACTGCTCCAGCACCCTGCTGGCCCACTGGCTGCCATGCTCCTCACCATGATGGTCCTGGACTCTACCTCTCACTCTGTAATCTAAAGTAACTCAAGTTTCCATTTAGTTATAATGAGAACAGAGAACTATACTAAGGTAAGAGTTGAGAAACAGGTGGCAGAGAGGCCTACTGAGGCAGAAAACTAAATTACATTTTAGGAATATATATAACTTCTAAATAAAGTGTCTTTTTAATAGTTACATATTGAAAATGTTGGTATAATGTTCTTTTAAAATGTATATGCCTTACCCTTGTTAATTCAAATGCTGATTTCCCCACCCCCAACTCTCTGGTTTCAATCTGGATATTGCATTGTGATACTCACTCTTGTGTAAACAGGACACAAATAAAGCAACTAGATACAATGTTGTGCAAGGGGAGGAGCCAGAGGACAGGAAAGAGGGGAGGAGCTAGAGAACAGGAAGGGGCAAGAAGGAGGAGGAGCTTGAAGAGAGGAGACGAGGAGAGCAGAGCCAGAGGAGAGAGCTTGGAGGACTTGGAGCATGAACCAGACCTAAGATTTCACAAGAAGCAAGTATAATGTGGGAAATCTAAATGTTAGGAAACTGAGGGCTTGGAGGTTTAGGAGGGAGTAAATATTGCCCAGCATTGTGTTCTAGATTAACTAAAAACCCAGTCTCTGTGTGGTGATTTGGTTAGCTGCTGAGGATTAACAGCAGCGTTACTAGAAGATAAACCCATAGTAAATTTTAATTGCCACCTACAACAGTTACATATTGAAAAGGTTTCATACACTAACACATGAGGACCTGAGAGTGCCAGCAGTCAGAGCAAACCATGGTTAAGGTGTCCACTGCCATCTAGTGGTGACACATCAAAATTCAGTACAAATATGCATCAAAGCTACTGCTCTCCACACCATGGAGAGAGCAAAACTTGCTGTCTTAAAACTCCCATAATGTATCTCATCACTCACTATCATATATGTGATATATCGGTACATTTAAATATTTTTATAAATTGGAAAGTATGAATGCATTGGCAATACTGGCAGCATTTTTCCCTTTAACAACACAACAAAACAAACAAACAAACTTTCCCATTTATTTAATGAAAACAAGTTAGGACTATTAGACCAAAAGGCCAAAACTATATACTCAGGAATTAAAAACCAAGAGTACCTTTAACCCCAGCATTCAGGAGGCAGAGGCAGGAGAATCTCTGTGAGTTCAAGGCCAGCCTGGTCTAGACTGTGAGTTCCAGAACAGTCAGGGCTGTGCAAAGATTCTGTCTTAATAAAACCACCCACCCAACGAACCAAAACCAAGAACAATCCAAGAAAGATAAGAAAATTATGAGCAACTCAGTAGGAATATTAAAATTGTATGTATTCACAGCAATTAGGGGTCTGATGACAACACATGTTGTGCACGCTGAAATAAAATGTTTCCAGAAATTTTAAACTACGGTTCATGAATCTATTATTTTAATATTTCAAGTAATTTTCTACAAAATTAGATGGTACCCCTACAAGGACTTTACAACTAGTATTCAATATAATAACCCCCCTTCCCAAATTAAAATACTGGCACTTATCAGGAAAAACCTCTAAACTGTATTAAAGGTTCACAGATGAACAACCCATGATTCAGCTGGGTTTTTTTTGTTTGTTTGTTTGTTTTTTGTTGCAGCCACATACCACCTTCCTATCTTGAGATGTGTTATTTACTCTGTTTTAGGACTAGGTTTCTCTTTCAAAATCATTTTAACATTACAGTGATTATGCCAACTCTTGAGTCAGGTCACTTGGGAAAGAAGTTTTCCCCAATATTAACAGTGCAAGTTACTTATATATTCCTATTTTTCATCTATTTCAGGGGAGAAAACAGGAGCTACTTCAAAAGACATTGAATAATGCCTGGCAGGTGGTAAATGATAATTAACTGGGCCCTCCTTCATTATTACTGTTATTATTGTTATGATAATTAATTTATTGATCATTATGCTAAGCATTTGATTATCTTTTATATTCCACAGCAGCTATTATTAGTAATATTCCTATGCAAAAGGCAAACTGTGTCAAACTTTGGTACAGAGTAAACAATACTGAAGGCAATTGCCCACTGAAATTTTTAAAAGGTTAAAAAAATAAAATTAATACATCTATCTTTGGTCTATGTTTTGTATCTGGAAAATAGATTTAAGAACAAAATTAAAAGGTAATCTACTTGTATAAAGAACACAGACCTCAATAATCACTAACGGTCATCCTATATTAAGTGTTAAACAAATTTCCCCGAATAATCTAAGTTCTGAAGGAAAGATTTAGGAAGCATTTAAAAAACAGCAGTTAGTCCACTGATAAGGGAGGTCCTCCCCCACTTCCATCTGACCCTAGCCTTTCAGGTCCCATCAGGACTGGCTGGCTGCAAAGTCTTCCTCTGTGGCCTGGTAAGGCTGCTCCCCACTAAGGGTGAGGTGATCAAAGAGCCAGGTATTGAGTTTATGTCAGAGACAGTCCCTGTTCCCCTTACTAGGACACCCACTTGGGAGACTGATGCAGCCTGGGCTATATCTGTGCAGGGGTTCTAGGTTATCTCCATGAATGCTCCTTGGTTGGAGTATCAGTCTCAAAAAACAAAAACAAAAAAACAACAACACACACACAAAACTCCTGGGCCCAGATTTTTTAGTTCCGTTGCTCTCCTTGTGGCGCTCCTGTCCCCTCCAGGTCTTTCATCTCCCCCTTCTTTCATAAGATTCCTGAGCAATAGGATTTTACTTTTAAGGTTCACATTAAAATGTAATGAAAGCAATGGAGCCTATCTCCAGAGAAAAAAACATGGAGCATGATGATGCAGAGAAGAATAATTATCATCACATTTAAGAGTTCACTGCCAAACTCAAGCAGGCTATATGCAACTACAGTTAATACTAAACACACTTTCACAAGTAAATGTTCATTTAACAAAGTGTGTTACATAATACATGACAAATATTAAATATTATGTTGTGAAGTGTTTTAAAATGGAAAAAAAAAACTTGAAAAGAAATAAACACATATACCAAATAAATGCAATATCTTTAAGAATGCCCTAAGAGCATGCAGTTTCTAAACAATGAATTTGGGAAAAGAAAACAGAATAATTCCCACATTCACACTATGCTTTCACTTTATGAGAGGAAACAAATTAAGAACAGTAAATTTCTAAGTTTTGCCTATCATTCTATAAGATGAAAATAAGAACTTAGACTATCGTATTCGATCATAACTGTTAAGTATTAATTCATGCTATACATTTCTACAATAATTAAACTATAATTTGAGACTTTATTTATTTATTTTTGGTCAATAATCACCAAAAGCTTACCATTTTGACCATCTCGTCTTTTTTCTGTTAGAATAAAAAAAAAACAGCATTAATTATACACAAAATACATTTTAAAAACAGACTATATACCTAATGAAAAGAAAATCTTTGTAACAGACTTTATCTAAACCCTTACTTTTGAGGTGATGTGCAGCTGTTTAAGGAATCTTTCTGAAAATCAGAAATAATGTAGATATCCAAGTAAAAGAAAAACCGCATTCAAAAGCTTAAGCTCAGTGCGGGGATGCCATGAGGACTGGAGAGGAGTGCACGGGGAAGCCAGTCAACACCGCAGGGGCTCATCATGCTGGTGCTCGGGTGGAAGGCTGTGAGCCGCAGTTTACTTAGCACGTACAGAAAGCTTTCCGGTGGGAGGACAAGTGACATGAAAAGTCTACACTCCACGTCTAGTCTCAGTGTTGTGTGCAAAGAGACAACAGGGGAAGAAATGGACAGCAGGCTGGGAAACTAGTGATAGGTGGGTATTAGCTGTGAAGCCAATGACAGCCAAGCTACAATGTACATACAGAACCACACAGGGTAGGTATAGAGCAAGGGACTAGAGGGAACAGCGATCTCATTAGGAAAGGAAAATAAAATAAATTTTTATGAGTGGGATTTTCTAGGAGGATCAAGTGGGAATAGGAAGGGTAGTGTAGTGGGAGGGAACATGGAGAGAGACAGCTGAAACGGAGGGACTTTGAGGGGTATACATGTACATACATATACATGTATACATAATACATACATACATATACATATGAGCTCTAAAATGATATAGCCAAATAATGAAGAAAACAGAGATCCTCATCCCCCCCCCCCAAAAAAAAAGTACACTTCAACAATTTTTTTGTTTGTTGGAGGCAGGATCTTGATAGACAGCACTGGCTGACCCAGAAATTGCTATGTAGGCCAGGCTGGCCAAAATTCATGGACAATTACCCTGCATCTGCCTCTCAAGAGCCAAGGTTACAGGCATGCACCACCATGACTGGCTGTGTTTAAAGACTTTTAAACAATTATAATCTTTACATATTTTTCTAACTTTTTCGAAATTTTAAGAGAAATATCAATGACTAATGTAGTAAAATAATTAGCTTATAAATAATAACAAGCCTTATCAGTAAGATTCAATTGGTAGACAAATTAAAAATCCTACCAACGGGAAACAAAGATATAATATTCCATCTCATGATCAAATGAAGCAATAATTTGATCATTTAAGGAAAGCTGTTTCTATACTGTGACTCTTTATTTTCATAGTGACATCTCTGCATGCAGAATGGTGTTTACTTAAATATAAACTCTACTGAGATGAATAAGAGGTTTAAAATGCAAGTTTTAAGAGCAAACTTGGAAAACATATATCCTTGGTTGGAAGGCACTTAAGTTAAAAAAAAAAAAAAAAAAGCAGGTTGAACAGGACAGAATCGGAGGCTCCTGCGCGACACTTGCTGATCGTATTAACAGAACAGTGTGTTTGCTGTGCGGCCATGTCTCAGTATCACTGGCCTGCTCACACTACAATGTGCCGTGCTCAAGTCTTTTATACACTGAAAACCATGCAAGCTGCTGAACTGCAAGTACAGTACTCAAGACGACTAATCTAAAACTGTATCATAAAACTACTTCAAACATGGACCCAGCAAGACTAAAGAGAAAGCCTGAGAGAGTGTGAGGTAAGGGCTACAAATGGCAAGCAGTGAAGGAGAGAAAACAGATTAATCTACTGGTACAAGCTAGACCCGTGTGACTAAGGTAACAGAGGAGACAGGGTTTGACTTGGTACGAGAGCTAGAAACAGTTAACAACATGGCTGTATCCCTAAGGCCATGTTCTCTGTGTGGCTGAAATCCTTTACCTAAAGTTTAGACAGCCACTATATGCAGAATTCCTATCCTAGGTAAAACGCATCCTGAACTTACCTATGGGTTTCAAATAAATTACTTTTAACAAGTGCTTTTGATTTTTTCACATCAAAATGCCATTTATTCTGCTAAAGGTTTTCCCAAAGCTCTACTAGATGACCATCATAAAATGTCACTAAAACCAACACTGAAGGCCCGAGAGAAGATTCAGGGATGCTGTGCTTGCGTGGCAAGTGTGAGGATTCCAGAATTCATGAAAAAGCTTTGCAGATGGCAGAGACAGGGGAGCCCCAGAATAAGAAGGCTAGCTGGACTTACCAGCTCAAGGTTTAGCCAGAGGCCCTGACTAATGAAGGAGAAAGTGATCAAGGAAAAAACTCAAAGATACCATTTCCATGCCTCTATATACCAGGTGCACCTGAGCACAAATATGCAGACAGACAGACCAGACACACACACACACACACACACACACACACACACACACACACACACA